CAAGCGAACCCCTTTCAACATAACTTACCAGGGGGATCCAACATATATGTAACCATGTTGTTAAATTCATGCTAACCTCAGGAACTTGAAAACCTCACTTCGCCTAAGTAGAATAACATCCACTATAATATGTTCCAATACTTCCTAATCCTGAAACAAACGTGCGATCTACATAGCCCCAACGCAGAAATACTTACACCATATACAACGGCCTTTGACAAATTACAACGACGTTATAGCCTTGTTACAACGTTGTTATAGATATTTGTAACCGACACACCTACTTAGAAAACGGCCCATCGATCCCAGTACAGGTCCCCCCCCCCGCGGATTGCTGGCCCCCCCCCCCCGGACTACAGGTACCCACCCCCCAACCCCGGACTACAGGTACCCCCAGAACTATTGAGGGACACAGAGTAACAGGTCATGACAGAATGTTTTTCCGGTAGCGCGAGAATTTATTGGATGGCCGCGAGGTGGTGGGCGATGGTCCCGAGGTCGAACAAAATGTAACCATGGGTGCGAGTGGGGACCGCGTGCGTTGAGATCGGGGTGGATGCGACGGTCGTCGGAGAGGGGCAAGGGTCGGCGCGATGAGGGGGCGACGCGAACCCCGCCGCGACAAGAGGGGCACGCAATGAAAAGCTTGCTGTCGTGGCCAAGTCTGCAAGTGTTCCGACGTGCCTCTGGGGCCTCTGCGCCGTCCTGTTGGAGGGCCGGGCGCGCCAAACCCAAAAATGCATCAACAGGTTTGGAAGGATCATTTCGTTGCCTTTTCTGGTCGTTTCGTGGCTGGAGGTCGACGATGACGATAGCGAGTGTCCGCGCGTTTTGGAGGGGGCTCGGGCGTTGTTTGGACGCCTGTGGGAGGGTCTGGGGCTCGATCGAATGGGCTTTAGGGGGCCTTAGTGTTCACGGCGCCGGTTGGCCTACAGGGCCGATGACGAGAAAGGGGGCCTTTGAGGTCGTCTTGGGGGCTGGTAGGACCGAAGAAGCGAATATGCCAAACATGCACGTCCCCCCCCAAAAAAAACTACGATTTGCGCTTCTTCGGGAACCTTCGGGGAACCTGTTAGGGCGTTTGTCAGGGCGTCTGTGGCCACGCAGCAGCCGTCTTGGCCCCCTTAGGGCGCTCTTAGGCCACTCTGCAGGTATATTAGGCGCCTTGGGAGCCTCTTGGGCCAGCTTGGGGGACTGCGGGGAGCGTTTTCGGCTGTCCGGGGGCTCTTCCGACAGGTGCCCCAGGGGCTGGGGAATGCAGTCTAAAAGGTACATGTGGGGAGGTCGGCCATCCTGGGGAGGTTTTTGTTTCTTCCACTGCGGCACGTATAATTATAGGAGCATCTATATCTATATATATATATATATATATATATGTATATATATGTGTGTGTATGTGTGTATATGTATATCAGAATGAGGGGGCCGAACGGTTATTCATTGTCCCTGGGTGCGTGGCTGAATGAATTCGTGGTGGGAATTTTGTTTGTTGCGGTGTTGTTGTTGGTGTTGGTGTTGGTGTTGTTGTTGTTGTTGCCGTTGCTGTTGCTGCTGTTGTTGTTGTTGGTGTTGTTGTTGGTGTTGTTGTGTGCTGTCGTTGGTGCTGTTGTTGTCGTTGTTGTTGTTTTTGTTGTTGTGTGTTGTTTGTTGTTGTTTGTTGTTTGTTGCTTGTTGCGTGTTGCTTGTTGTTGGTTGTTTGTTGTTAGTTGTTTGTTGTTTGTTGCTTGCTGTTTGTTGCCTGCTGTTTGTTGTTTGTTGTCGTCGTCCCACCCGCGACTCATCCGCGACCGACCCCGCGACCCACCCCGCGACCCACCTCGCGACCCACCCCGCGACCCACCCCGTGACCCACCCTGCGACCCACCCGCGACCCACCCCGCGACCCACCCCGCGACCCATCCGCGACACACCCGCGACCCACCCCGCGACCCACCGTGACCCACCCCGCGACCCACCCTCAAGGGAGGAAAAATCACCTGGACCCGACAATTGACGGTTTTAAACGGCCTTGGGCGTTGATTAGACAGACCTGCCTTGTTCGATTCTTCCTCTGTGTGCGTTTACTAAAAGGCTTCGCTTGTCGGGGTGATAAAGTACGGGGTAGATTTTGTGCCTTCTACACTCGCGACCCACTCACGACCCAACAGCGACCCATTTGCGACCCACCTGCGGCCCACTTGCGACCTACCCAAATTGGTTTAACGAAAAAATCGGCGCCTGCGGCGGGCTCGTTGTATAATTTGTGAAACTTTGGCGCCCGTTGCGGGCTTTTCCAGAGTCTCGTAAATTGCCGACGTCCCCACCGCCCCCTCACTCTTATCCGCATCTGCGAGGTGCTACGTGTATCTATAATATATATATACATATATATACACCAAACACCCAATGTTGTTGTTCTGTACGAGGTGTACATTTCTCTCTCTCTCTCTCTCTCTCTCTCGTCCTCTATCTCTCTCTCTCTCTCTTGTGTTGTATCTCTGTCTCTCTCTCTCTCTGTTTCCCCCACTTTCGGTTCTCGTTTTGAGTTCGCAGCGCTGCGCGTCTGCCTTCCTCCTCCCCCCTTCATTCCTTCCTCCTTTCCTCCTCGTCAGCATCATCATATTGATACACCCACACAAACCGTATCATTATCATCGCATGTTCGTCACACTCCTCACACGGTTCGTACCCCCCTAGGGAGCTCCACAGAAAGCCCCAGACACGGTTCTAGCAGCGTAGGAGGTTTCATGATCCTCTTCTCTTTTGCCTTTTCGCATGTCGGCAGACACCTCACACGTTTCGTGGCCCTATCGGGGGCTCCACCGAGGGCCCAAGTGGCAGGGTTCACATGCGTACCCGCTGCATTTCGGCTGACCCCTCACACGCTTCGTGGCCCCCTTGAGGGCTCCACCGAGGGCCCCAGCGCAAGGGTTCACATGGATACCAGCCCAATTTCGGCAGACCCGCCACACGTTTCGTGGCTCCATGAGGGTGCTCCACCGAGGGCCCCATTGGCAGGGTTCACATGGGTACCCGCCCCTTTTCGGCTGCCCCCTCACACATTTCGTAGCTTCATTAAAGAGGGCTCACCGAGGGCCCCAGTGGCAGGGTTCACATGCGTACCGGCCCAATTTCGGCAGACCCTTCATACGTGTCGTGGCCTAGGGAGCTCCACTGAAGGCCCAAGTGGCAGGGTTCGCATGCGTACCCGCCGCATCTTGGCATGCCCCATCACAGTGTTCGCATGCGTACCCGCCGCATTTCGGCTGACCCCTCACATGTTTCGTGGCCCCCTTGGGGGGCTCCACCGAGGGCCCCAGTGGCAGGGTTCACATGCGTACCTCCTTGTCGGCTGACCCTTCACACGTTTCGTGGCCCCATAGTGGGTTCCACCGAGGGTCCCAGTGGAAGGGTTCACATGGATACCAGCCCAATTTCGGCAGACCCGCCACACGCTTCGTGGCCTCATAGGGGGCCCCACCGAGGGCCCCAGTGGCAGGGTCTCACACGTTTCGTGGCCTAATAGGGAGCTTCACCGAGGGCCCCAGTGGAAGGTTTCACATGGATACCCGCTTCTTTTTCGGCTGACCCCTCAAACGTTTCGTGGCCCCATAGGGGGTCCACCGAGTGCCCCAGTGGCAGGGTTCACATGGGTGCCCGCTCCAATTCGGCAGACCCCTGACGCGTTTCGTGGCCCCATGTGGAGCTCCACCGAGGGGCACTGCGGAGTAACGAGTTCTTGTGCATTGAGCGGTCACGTGGGTCGTTTCCATGAATGGGTTGGGTTTTTCGCCATGGTAATTGTTGTGTTGCATTATTCTTTCGCTCTCTCCCTCTCTCTCTCTCTTTCTCTCCCCCTTTGACAAGTATCCATTACGAATACTACTCTCCTCTCTCCCCTAATTATGTCCGAAAGATGTGCCGCTCTCTTCGCGTATTGTTTTATCTCGGCACGAAGCATAGGTTAAAGTGATTGTTCATGCGAGTGTCGCATTCCAGTTGTTCAGTGTTTCAAGATGGCGCTCCTGGTGCATCGTGGGCCTCATGTTCGGATTGGCGCTTGCCCCCGAATGGCGCCCTCGCCCCAGCGCGGGCAATTTTGCTGCATCCCTTTTCCATCCTTGTCGGCCTCCGCATTTCCCCTCTGCCTTCCCCTGATCCTCCTGCCCCTCCCGCTGCTTCCACTCCAGTTCCTGCTGCCCGTGATCGTCCTCGTCCTCCTCTTTCCTCATCGTCATTCAATTCCTCCTTCTCATCCTCTTGCTAATCCGCCACCTTCTTCTCCAATGCACTCATATCCTTTTTCCTGGAAAGGGCGCCGGCCCAGGGTTCTCTTCTAGGGTGCTAATATGTCCCCGGGGCCATGCACAAAAAACTACAAATGCAAGAACAATTGCTATGCAAAAAAAAAATCTCAAGTTCGGTCGTCGTGGTGGTTGGCGCTGCCTCGCCGGACCTTCCCTAAACCACTCTCGCCCGGATCATAAGCTAAGGCTGCAAGACGAAGTTCAAACTTGACCAACCAGACCAGCCAGACCAGAGCCAGACTTGCTCTTGGTAAGCTTGGCGTTCCGCCGTGCGCTACACGGCTAAGAACATTATTAGACAATGTGTACAATTCAGGTCATTCTGCTGACCTCGGGCCCAGAGTCCGCCGTGGGAACGGGTGTGAGATGTCGACTAGGGGTCCCCGCTGGGCTCCGACAACTCGCGCCCATGCCTTTAGCGCCTGCACCGCCCTGCCCCCTGTTCCCGTCCTACTCCCTGTAGGTTGGAGACTGTGTGCTCTGTTCTTTCATCAGTGATGTGTGGCGCTCCGTGCAGGTCAGGACATGCGGAATTAGGGCGGGAGCTCTGGAACCATGCTATCCCACGATGGTTTTGTTGATGTTCGTATTCGTCAAGGTGCATTGATCGCCCGCGCGCGTACGCAGTGTTGGAGCGTACGAGCGTTCGTTTGACATCTCGATTCGTTTTTTGCTGCCATCGTTGCTTGCGCGCATTGGGGCCTCGCCTGCCAGCTAGTTCGGCAACCTCATGCTGGCGTCCTTCGCTGGGATGGACCACAGCTTGCTTCGTCTCGCTAGTGAGCGTTTGGCGAGCTGCGCATGTAGATCTGAGCCGAGCCTGCTTCCCAGGCTTGGATCTGCACGTATCCACCGCCCAGAGAGCCGAACTGCCCGGAGCTCGGGAGGCGGTGGACGGGGTCATGCTCGGGCCCCTTGGCCGAGGGCCCAACATACCGACGTCCACCGCCCCTGGGGGCCCTCGGACGCCGGTCCCCCCCCGGGCGGTGGATGTGCGCACATTCTGGCCTCGCACTGCCGGGCCTCCATGGCTCCAAGCAGCTTCATGGGAGTGGGGGGGGGACAGACCGATCGCGCGAGCCGGTGGGATTAGCTCGTCCCCGCGCGGGTCGTGGGGGGTGCACCTCGTGAGTGTGAGAGAGAAGGAGAGAGGGGGGCAAATCAAAGAGAGAGAGAATGCTGAGTTGGTGGGCGGGTGGGTGGTGTCGGGCTGGGCTGCAGGGTGGGCCGGCCTGTGGAGTGTTGGTCGATGGATCCGGAGTGGCAGGGCGACGGGGCACGAGGAGGCAACGGTCTTCAGGTGTGCTCAGGGACTGGCATTAAGTCGGGCCCGTCCCTCCACAGGAGGAATATTCAAGAATAGTTTAAAAAACTAGTACAGGGGACTTGTGAGTATCTTTGTATTTTAGAAAAAGTGGGGACTTTAAAAAATAGTACAGGGGACTTGTGTAAAAAAGTAAAAATAAAAAATAGTTTTCAAAAATATTAAAACATGATTTTCTTTGTATTTTTTGACAATGTTGGAGGATTTGTGGGTATCTCTTATTTTTCGTCGAAAATCCCCTTGTAGGGGGACACGCCCGACTTAGAGTGGCAGAAGGACGGGGCAGACTGCCAGTCGGCAGCAGACGCTGCGCTTGGGGCACAGATGGACGTCACGGCGGGTGGGGCTGCAGCCACGACGCATGCAAATGCGTCGGGCATCGCGTGCGAGGTGCTCTATACAGTGCCTCCCGTGCAGTAGATTTCTGTGCGGGTGGTGAGCTCGCACGTGGCGTTGCCGCGCGATCGAAACAGCGCGCGGCCTCCATCGGATCCCTTGTTTTTGTTCTGCCTCCTTTGTGCTGCGCAGCTCTTGCGTCAGGCCTCAGTGGAGCGAGAGGGAACGACGGAGATCAATGGCACGCCGAAGTTGGGGACGCGTCGGCGGTCGGCGTGTTACTCCTTTGTTTCACGTCCGCCGAACGCATGGTGCTTCTGCAGAACTTACACGGGGAGGCCAGAAACTGCGGACGAAGTTTTCAGCTAGATTTGTCCGATGCGTTGGCGGTCTGGGTCTCGGGCTTCCCAAATCTCAGAGGGGAAACGGGGACTACCGCCACCGAGAACCAATTGGACGGGGATCCTTGGGATCCGTCACTGCGAAAAAAATAGAACACCGAGAAAATTCAAGACTGGAGTCCTGGACTCCATCTCCATGGTGCACTTCTCGAGCGGGTCGATACGTGGTGGCCCCAGGGCCCGAAACTGGGCGAGAACACTCGGTGGAGAATCGGGCGGGTGGTGATGGGAGGTGACCTGCACGGGGGCTGAGAGCAGGGCCCCAAGGGGGGCCGCTTAGGGTCCCTTCTGCAGCCAGCAGGGGCCCCCAAAGGAGCTCCGAAGGGCCCCATTTGGGGCCCTCGTCTTCACCCCCCATGCAGGTCAGCCGACCCCCACCACCACCCTTCCTCGAGGAGGAGGAGGAGGAGGAGGAGGAGGAGGAGGAGGAGGGAGAGGCGGGGGAGGGGGAGGGGGAGGGGAGGGGCAGGAGGGTGGTCCCTGCTCCCCTGAAGCCCTCAAGGGTGCCCAGGGGCTGCCGCCGCCGGCGGCCCCGCCCGCCGGTCCGGCGCCATGCCCGCCACGGCGCGGGGCTCCCGCTTCCGCTGCCTGGACAGCGAGGACGAGCCCGAGGCCTCCGCGTTTCCCTCGCCGATGGGGAGCCAGTGGCCAGTGGGGGGGCAATATCAGGGGGGATAGGCGCAGGGGGGGATGGATGGACCCCCGATCACTCATGGATCGCCGATAGGGGCCTATCGCTGGTTAATCGGCGATGTATCGCCGAGTCCTGGTTGATGGTCCCCCCCTACAGTCAACCCTTGCATCCCTGCCCCTTCGGCCCATCCCTGGCAACTTTCGCTGCTGCAGCCCCTCGGGGTACCCTGGGAGCATGGCTTTCCGACGCCCTCTGTATCCTTACCGCGCATCCTTACCATATGGGTTGACTGTGTGCCAGCTCCCCCAGATCGTTGCCCCTCATCGGCGTCACCCCAACATACTTATACTATACATGCGTCGCCCCCCAGGGGCGACGCGCGCACCGAGAAATCTCATAGCACATGCGTCGTGGCGGGCGCTGTCTGGCCACACCGCTCGGGAAACGATATATACCGCAAGATGCGCATACTGTGTGTTTGGGTCGGACGCCCGCCTCCAAGGAGAACATACACGCCGGTCGTTGAAAGTAGGTATCTTGGGATTCCCAGATTCCAATCTACTTCAAGCGCCTTCCTATTTCAAGACTCGACACGCTTTTTTGCTGTGTTCTGTTATTGAATCGCGTCGCTCATTCCGCCGGCCCAGTTCGCATGACCGAGCCGCGCATATCCGCCACCGCGCTTGTGGAAGACGCGTAGCTGGGCAGCAGCGGGGCGAGAGTGGCAAGATGGCCAGAGAGACCTCTGCAGACTTTCGAGATAAAGCCGGGGCTGTCCAGGAGGGCCGAAAAGTTTCGAAGGGGATCCTGCCACCGTGCATTGGTAGAAGATTAGAGTCCTCCTGGGTACGCTCGGGGTCACTTCGGAGAGCTCTTGGCAGTTTCTTAGGATGCAGTGTTGATGATTATTTTTGGGGCCTCTTCTGAGCCTTGCCGGATTTGGGGACTTTTGGGGGTTGTGGTGGGCTCTTAAACGCGTCGGGTCGTTGGCATTTGCTTGCGTGCTGGAGGGGGCGTTTGGGGAGCCTCTTGGGGCCACTGGGGGGCCTCTTCAACGTCGCTTGGGGGCCTCCTGAGGGCCTCTTGGGGGCTTTTGGGGCCTCTCAGGGGCCTCTTAAGGCCTCCTGGGGGCTTCTTAAGGCCGAGGGCTCGAAGTTTTGCTTTGTGTTCCCCCATTTGGGGCATCGATTGGGGCCCTCTTGGGCCGTCTTGGAGCCCTCTTGGGCCATCTTGGGGCCTTCTTGGGAGCTTCTTGGGAGCTTCTTGGGCCCTCTTGGGGCGATCTTGGGGGCCTCTTGGGCCGTCTTGGGGCGTCGGGAAGCCGAAAAGATGGACACGCCAAAATCTGCCCAAAACCTAAGGAAAAGTAATGCATTTTGCCTCTTGGGGCCCTCTGGGGAGTGCTCTTGGAGGCCTCTTGGGGCGTCTGGAGGCCATCTTGGTCGTCTTGGAACGATCGTGTGGCATCTCGGAGCACTCTTGAACCATCTTGGAGGGCTCTTGGCGGCCTCGTGGCCCTTCTTGGGGCTCTCTGGAGGGCCACGGGGGCGGCGCCCAGGAGTAAAACCATCTCTGATCCGAGTCTGCCGGGGATCGCCCGGGGTACTTTTCGTCCGGGGACCCCCAGGGGCCGCCCCGCGCGCGCGAAGTAGAAATATTATTTAGCAGTTACCGGAGATCTTAGCACGCCTCTGGCCCGTCGGGCCAGCGAATTCCCTGGGTGGGCCTGGACCCAATCAACTTAATTCGCCTTCCTACTTCATGTTTTTACATATTTCTTCCGACCGACGTGTATGGTGCTGATATGCCTTCGTGCGCCCTACCTCGGACCACTGCGCGCGGCCCGCGGGTCCGCGTCGGTCGCGCCTGCGCGGGTGCCGGGGCGCGGCGTCGGCCGCCTACCCCCAGCGCAGGTCCACCAGCATCGCCCAGACGTGCTCGGTCTGCGTGCGCGTCGCTCCCCCCCCCCAGGGGGGGCGACGCGCGCGCTCAGAAGTCTTGTATCAAGTCGGGCCCGTCCCTCTACAGGAGGGATATTCACAAGTAGTCAGGAAATAGTCTGGGGACAATTTCTTGAGTATTTTTTTGACAATTTTGGAATATGTTTTGAGTATTTGTATTTTTCATCGAAAATCCCCCTGTAGGGGGACAGGCCCGACCTAAATCTTGTACTACATGCAGGACAAAGCCCCCGAACGGATTGGGATGGCGCAAGCCTGCGCAAGCACAATGCCGCCCGTCCGCTGCCGCTCTCCACGCGGCCCTGGCCTCGGGACCCTGGCCCAGCCTGGGCTGGGCGGGGGGTCCTGGCCCCACATTGGCCCCGGCGTTCCTTGCGGGCTAGCCCCACGCCGCGCCGGGGCCCAATCTGCATGAATTAGCTATCATCTGTAGTTGAGGCATGCAGAGTTATTTGCTTGAATTACACATATACTCGACTTAAAAACAGAGGTCCCCTGCGACTTCCACGTTGATGTCATGTTAATGTCAGGTTAATTTCGCGCTAGTCCGCCCCACCATTCCCCCCTTCCTCCTCTATTCCTTTTCCCCCCTCCTGCCATGCGGCGTCTCCTCGACAGGAGACGTCGCCCCCCGCGCCGCGATGTTTTGTTTCAGCGGGCGCGAAGAGCGCAAAGGGGAGCGCGCTCCCGATCCCGGGCGCGCGGACGGCGCATGGCTTCGCTCAGTGATGCCGTCGCCGCTGGCTCGCCCGCCCGCCCCCCCCCGCCGCCCTGGGCCGCGCGCGCCTCCGCTGCGATCGCCGGGCGCCCCTCGACCATCCTCTCGGCCGCGGGCGCGTCGACGTTCCGCGGCGCAGCTCCGCGACGAGGCTCGAGCAGCAATTCTGGACGCACTCCTGGCAGCGGCGATGCCGCCGGCAACCGCCTTGCAGCTGCGCGAAGCGCCAGGATTCCTGTTTGTCCGCGGCGCCGAGGGCGCCGCGCGCGGAGCATCGAGCGCCCTGGGCAGCCATCTGCGCAATAGCGAATTCGCGGGCAGCTTGCAAGAAAATAAACCTGCTGGCCAAAAGCACGGCTGCGGCTAATAGGTGAAGAAGAGGATGAATTGCGCGATTGGAACCCGGACGGCGCGGGGGGAGGGCGGCGAGGGGGGAAGCCCCGAGACTGATCGATGAGGCCCTCCTGCACAGGAGGGGGAAAGGGAAGGCGACTTTCGTTTTCGCGAGAGCCGAAGCGATTCCACCACACGATCCGCACGAAAGGCTGCGAGGAACATCTGGACATCAATGCGACGCTGCAGCTTTTGGGCGCGAGCGCGCTGCCGCGACGCTTGGCGAGGTGCGCGCCCGAGCCCCCGAAGTCCTCGCCCCTGTAGGTCCGGCGTGTCTCGGGCCGGTGCCCACGCGGAGCTTCTATCGGGGGAAAACAAACCTACCTCGCTTTTGACCACCCTCGCTTCCAAGAGATACCAAACAATACCAAATTGCGGCCTGCACTGGTCAGGACGCTCGACGAGGAGGCGCGTGGCATGGCTTGGTTTTGCCTGGAAGCGAAAGCGGGGGAGGTAATTCACGCTCTGATTCTAAGCCCGCCTCGAGCAATTGATGGCTCTTCGGTATCATCTGGCCCGCTCTAGGGCGCACGCCGCGCAGGGCGGCGCATTGCAGGCTGAACTTGACCGACTGGCCACGCGCAGTTGTTTTTCTCATGCCGCCACTTCGCACGCAAAGGCATGGCTGAGACAAGTGGAACATAGCACGTCGCATCGCGGCCTCATCAGCGACACTCAGGTCGCGCAACTCGTCGGCGAGCGTTTTCCCGAAGGGCGCCATGTGTCGGATGACAGCAGCTTGCCCCGAAAGGCGAAGCGCTTTCTTGTGCCCGACGGTCTTCATGGTCAAGGCGTGGATTCGATCAGCTTCTTGTGCCCGCTCGTGTTCAGGCGCCCGCGCGACGCTTTGGGCCGTTCGTCGCGCTCGGGGCCAGCGCGCTCTTTTAATTATATTAGTCTGAAGAACACTTGCCCCTGCCATATGCGGCCGCGCCCAAATCAACTGCGCGTAACCAATCGGCTCTCCAGACCGACTG